TTCCCTCTCCCCTCAGCCCCCTCTCCCCTCATCTCCACTCCCCTCAACCCGGATCTTCTCATCCCTGTCCCCTCAGCCCTCAGAAGTTGACACAGGGTGACTGTATCATCACTATAACTCGTGCTGAAAGGAAATCTCAGGACCATAGCAAGGTACGCGTTATTTTAAATATTTATCCAGAAGGCAGCACCTCCTGATGAAAGCACAAATCATTCCCTCTGTCTCCTCTCCGCACAACACTGGAAGATGTACCCGCAAACTTTCACTGCTACAGACCCTTCCCAGCCTTACTGAGGGTTTGTCCACAGGCTGTCAGAGCTTTTGTTTCATTACAGAAGCTGAAGTCCCACTTGCTGTAAAATTGAGGAAGAGAAGGACACACAAAAACACCCAGGGATGGAGCAGCTCTGGTGGGCACCTGGCGTCCCAGTGAAGAGCTGCTGGGGMACTTCGGCCTCTGCAATTCGCAAATAAAAAGATTTACCAATTATTGTTGAAGCACCTACAGTAGGAGAATGCCCCTACTTTCAAACCACTCTTGGAAAATGTTGGTTTCTCTCACATAGTGTTTCTCTATTGACATATATTAATGATGCTACAAAACACATGACTAAAGGATATTAAGAAATGAGAAATCTCCTTTTTAGATGAGAATATTCAAGACCCAGGCAAAAGCTTGATTTTGGAAGGCACTAAGCAGATAGTCTAGAAAAGCACTTAAGTGCACCCTTGACTTTAGATGTATAATTTAAATAGGATTAACCATACATTAACATCTTTTAAGATTCATACATTAACATCTTTTAAGATGAGCATGTGCTTCAGAACTTTTCTGCTTTAGGTCTGGGAACTGAACTTTCCAATGAATCAAAACATTTTTTCTCCCATGTCTTTAGTTAGCACTATCATTCACTAAATATTTATCACTTGCCATATCACCTCTATCCTGCTTGCATTTCCCAAATAGTTCAGTGGTTTAACGCAATGCACAGGGTTGCCGCTAAAACACTTGCAAAGATTTCAAGGACAGACTTTTGTTTCGCCCTTTTTCATGCTTTGATCAAAGCTTTTTTTTTTCTCTCTGTGGGTAGTTTTCTGTTTGCATTCATTGTGTTTTCCATAGATTCACAGCTGGGTGCTGTTTTTATGAGCCTGTCAGCCTTAGCATAGGGGAAAAAAYTGGAAGATTAATTTTGCATTTTTGCGATTCATTGTCACTAACTAATGGTAAGGAAATGCGTAGGCTGGYAATTAGTCATGCACTCTCTTGGTATTACCTGATTGCCAGCAGCTTGAATTCAAGTTTAAATGTTGATGAACGGAAAGGGATGWGATTTAGTATCACTTCACACTTGGAAGTGCAGTTGACTGGATAGATCGGTTTCAGATTTGGAAATGACACTGGAATAGTGTGAGGAACATTATTTCTAAATATTGGTCATTAAGGAGTTATGGAACAATTTTTTTTTGTTTGCTTGGCTTCAATGCTCCTGGTAGCTTCCAGGAAAATCTTGGATTATTTTTTTTTATACCAAAGTAACTATAGAAACCTTTCTTGTTACCCTTCAAACTCCTGGTCAGTTTTTAGCCCAACTATGCTTTGTCGTTTCTATTTTCATCCCTGTGTGGCCAAGGCAATACCTCTATATTCCTCCTTGGCATTCCCTACCCACCTACACCTTCCATGTGCTTCTGTTTTCTTTGGAGCTTAGGGAGGTTGTTCAGTGAGGTTAATTTGCTCTCCTGAAAYATGTTTTTGAGAAGGATTTTGTGTGCTTTTTAGAGAGGGTCTGTTATGCATTAAACAGAGGAATCTGCTTCAAGWAGAAACCTCCTCACAACAGGAGTTACACAAGAGGGTCTCCTGACAGGCAATATAGCAGTTAAAAGAGATTTGTTTGGGGCGATAACATTTCTGAAGTTCCTGTAAACATACTACTGAAAAATAGTTGTATGTTGTGTTTTGTAACAGAAAAATACAAAATTACTGGCATGAATTTTAGCTTTTTGGTAAGAAAATGAAATTCAGGGAAAGCAGTTCTGCATAAGAATTTTTGCCTGGACTTATTTTTAGCTTTCTTTTCACTGAAGTAACTTTTTGTGGCAGCTGTAGTTATCTCTRAAGGAAGAGGTACTCCGGTATTTCCTCCTTCCCTGTGAAAATCTCTTACTTGGAATATTTCCACTTCAGTGAGCACTAGGAAAAGAACAACCTTTCCCTTTGAAGCAATGTGTATGTGGTTAGTGTCTGCAATACACTCCATGGCTTATGGGCAATGTATYGATTTCCCTCTGTTGTACTTGCCGTTAAGAGCAAATCAATGGGACCACTTTCAAGAATAAATGAGAATGTTTTGATTGCCTACAATTCTTTTATTGTAGAATTGCAAATTGCACTTTGCAGACTACCAAGCTAGTACACATTAAAAATATTCCTTACTGTGTTGTTGGGCTGCCTTCCTCAGTTAAAATACTATTTATACTATCCCAGGACCACATTTAATTCATGATTTCTTCAAAGTAAACAGCAGGCTGTTCTTCACAGCCATTGCAATAAAATTTGCATCTCATTTAAGACAGATTTTACTTGCTTTTCCTCGGTCTGAGAAAGTTAATGRTTTTATTACCTTTGGAAGAACTTATCTCCCTTTCTTTACTTTTAATTTAGGTTGGGGTTTTTCTAAAGAGCAAAATAGTTCACATTACCAAAAAAATTTACTGTTGCCTTTAGAAAGGATGAAAAGACGAATTTCAGGATCACTGGAATTTATAATGTCTTTTAGAAAAATAGATTTTGAAAAGTTTTTTTGTAAGTAGCTTCTTGCAAGTTGCTTTAATTTCCCTAGGGCTTTTCTTTTCTGTTTTAATATTACAGAAACAAAAAACATTGTCATCTTTGTGATGTTACTGGTGTGCACCAAATCTAGATTTTTTCCTCAAGATTTATCAGTAGATTAGACAGTAAAATAGCAAAAATAGCCAAATATATATATTTGATTCTTTGCATAACTGACTTTATGTGCTCTGAATACTGCTGAGGCCAAGCATCAAATGACTCCCGAAGAACAGCAGTAGTTGCCAAGTGCTGAAGTGTTATGCACTTCTTTTTGTCACATTTTCACTGGTTTTGGCTGCCCTAGGAGAAAGAAATGTATTAGTTATTCAGTGCAAAAATCTGTCAGTCATATGTGATGGAAATAAAAGCAGGAAAAGTAGGGGGTGTGTTGAATCACTTTCCTCTTGCTCCCTGTTGTCCTGGCACTCATTATTTTATGCAATATTTATGAATTATTATGCATTGTTTACATTCGTGTCATGCCCAGGAGCTCCAGTTGTGGGTAAGGACCCCACTGTGCGAGGTGCTGTGCAGAGCCAGCAATGTCTGYTCAGACTCCAGGGGTTTAGAACCACTACAAAAGACAAGGTCAATAACAGAACAAGACATTTAAGGAATGAACATAAAATAATAAGGCGTTTTTCATCAGCTTGGAAACCAGTCTCAGCATTCCAGGATTTAAGCATTACCGAGTTGTAATGGAAAACATATTTTAGTACTCCATTCAGTTAATCAATTTTTAACACAAAATTTTATATTATATCACTCTAGTGGATTCCATTCTCTTTACTGTCACTAACATGCTTTCAAAATAGCACCTGYACTTGTACAGCTGCAGCAAAATCCTATGCAACAAATTAACTCAGGGTCAAACTCTCCTTTTCTCACCCCACAAGCTGTTCCAGAGAGAACTTTGCAGAGTAAGGTCTGACATGCTGTGACATTCAGCAAACAATACTGAATACTGCTAAAGCCAGCTTAAATAATCCTTTCCTCCTTCCCAGCTGTGTGTTTCTATTCCTGTCCCTCGCCTGCACTGGATAGCCACAAGCATTTGTGCAGCATATTGTGAACTGAATTTGCAGATGCACAAAAACCTATTAAATGCTTTATGAAACTGGACTCTAAACCACAGCAACYAAAATAAGAACAAACTTACCTGGCCTTGATGAACAGGAAAAGCCTAATTTTGCCAGGTCAGGACTTACSTTAGTCACTCAGAGAGTGCCAGTGTCACACTGAGCAGAGTCAGATCATGGCAGATATCAGAGTC